TTTGTTTTTCTTTTCGAAGAGAACCCTGTCAGGCATGGTGTTGGGCTCTTCCGCCCAATCAAAGCTGTAGACTGTTACTACACCAAACTGGAACTAATTTCTATAGACTCTTAAAGGGTAACTGCGGTATTTTTCAACGTGGAGCTTTTTTTCCTGCGCTTTTGCGTCAAAGTGACTTGAGGGAAAACAAGTTTTGAATCTTGTCCAGGATTAAGCTGCAGCCATAAGGGTTACAGCGTAATCCTTCAGGGCAATTGTCTGGTCTCGCTCAAGGAGAAGGCTCATATGAAATACGTTCACATACAAATGAGAGAAAATAAGGTCCTGGTTGAAAAATACAGAAGTTACCCTGTAATGCCAACATGGTTCAGCCCTTTTTCCAGTGGACTGGACTTGGAATAAACTATCATTCCTCAAAGGTAGTTACTGTACCTTTTACATTCTGTCATTCCTTAAGTTTGCATAGACGTCAGGCTCTCTCTCCATTCCTGTCCCTGCACTTCCCTTGACAAAGCCGAAGCCAATTGTTGGCGTATCAAAAGCCGCAGTGAAGTTCTCTTCAGTGTGAATGTACTTGCCGTAGCCGTGCGCACCTTACTGCCTGTCAAATGCCTGATGCTGGGTACCAGGGGGTCTGAGAACTGATGATTTCTGTGTTTGTAATGGAGCACTTTGGAGGCAACACGTGGAACTTGCCACATTTTTTTTTTTTTTAAAGAAAAAAAGAAACCCTTGCTGCTATTGATGTTTTGTGTGTATCAGGGTTTGGCCAGTTTCAGCTTGGATCGTTCTAGAGGTCATTGGCTCTTATTTTCAAGTAGCAGGAGTCCATTTCCCCCCATTTAATGTCTGTTTCATTTTTCTGGTTTGATGGAAAATGGCTGATTCCATTTGAGGAAAATCATCAAATTGGTTTGAAGTACCAAAGCCAGTGCGTTGACTCATTATGTGGGAGGGTAGAATTGATCCGTAGTACTTTGATTTCCCCTGTTGATTGGTGCTGCCAACCCTGCCTTGTAGCATTAGAACAATCATTGTCCTGTTCTTTGGATCATCATATGTTCTGTTATTTTCTTTTCCCACAAGGCTCATTTTCAATTAATGTTTAGAAGTATTCCTCATCTTTTTGTTCTTGTAACCTCTGACACAAAATCCCTCCCTGTTGTTGTAACTTGTATGTTCTTTTAATAAATTCTCACCATCTACACTTTCTGTTCGGTTCAGTGTGGTATTATTTGCCGGGCTAGCTCCCAGTCATTAGCACCTGGCTGCACATACACTTACCTACACTATTAATGCTCTCACATACAATATCTATCAATGTAGTGTATTCATATACTGTCTATACTATACATATTCAATTCAATTGTATTTGTATAGCGCCAATTCATAACAGAAGTTATCTCAGGACACTTTTGAAATAGAGCAGGTCTAGGCCGAACTCCTTCATAACCTTTACAGAGACCCAACAGTACCACCATGAGCAAGCACTTGGCAACGGGGGCAAGGAAAAACTGCTCTAGGTGGGTGGTCGTCTGCCTCGACCAGGAGAGAGAGACTAAGAATTGCAAGTGACTTAGTGTTGCTTTCACCTACTAAAGAAGGTTTGTAGCAGCACCTTAATCTCCTGCAGAGATTTTGTCAGACCTGGGCCCTGACAGTAAACACAACAAAGACGAAGATAATGATCTTTCAGAAACAATACAGATCAGGTTACACACAATTTCTATTTAGACACCACTAAATTACAACATACAAAAAACTACATTACCTTGGCCTCAACATTACATACACAGGAAACCTCAATATGGCTGCGAAAGATCTGAGGGACAAAGCAAGGAGAGCTTTCTATGCAATAAAGAGAAACATTAAAATCTATATTCCAATCAAAATCTGGCTTAAAATTTTCCAATTTGTACTAGAACCAATAATTCTATATGGCAGTGAAATTTCGGGACCAAAACTAAATAATGAATTTGACAAAAGGGACAAAACAATCATAGAATCTTTCCACACTGAGTTCTGTAAGAGCATCCTGCAGGTGCAGAGAAAAACACCAAATAATCTGTGCAGAGCAGAGCTCGGCCAATACCCCCTCCTACTAAAAATACAGGAAAGATCAATTAAATTTTACAATCACTTAAAATCAGTTAGCCCCCAGACATACCATCACAAAGCCCTAACATACCAGGAGCTGAAACCAGAGAGGAGTCCCCTCAGCCAGCTGGTCCTGAGGCTCTCTGCAGTAACATGTCCCCAACAGCCTCAGGACAGCAACACCAACTCAATCAGACCGAACCAAATTATCAACAAACAAAAAGAAAAACATATTGAATACTGGAAAGAAACGACCAAAACACAAAGTAAATTACAATGTTATCTGACCCTAAAAAGAGAATTCAAACTGGCAAATTACCTGAACACAATAAAATGTCCTAAATTAAGAAAAATGTTCACAATGTACAGATGGAGTGAACACAGCCTGGCCATAGAAACGGGTCGCCACAGACAGAACTGGCTACCAGAAGAGGAGAGACTCTGCTCCCAGTGTGACAGAGGACAGGTAGAGACAGAGCTGCACTTTTTAACCTCGTGCCCTAAATTCAAAACTTTAAGAGAAAAACAATTCGCAAACATTTCCCAAATATACCCAGAATTCAAATTATTATTAGACACACAGAAACTACCCTGTTTACTGGGAGAAATGCCAAAAAGTCAAATTATTGCAGCAAAATATGTCTCCTCATGCCACAAACTGAGGACAACCAGTTTAAACTCAGATAAATGTATAAAATAATTGATTGTTTTAGTTGTTGTTTTTTTTGTTGTTTTTTAATAGACACACACACACACACACACACACACACACACACACACACACACACACACACACACTTACAGTTTTATCTATTTTATTTTAATTTTAATATTATATATATTATATTTAATAATTTGTTATTACTGTTATATTGACAACAGACTACTTTACCACTATTTTAATGACATTTTTAGTTGACACAAAGTGATTGATTGATTGATTCATTATAATTAATTGATTGATTGTGACTGTGATTGCGATTGAGTCAATCATAGTTACAGTATTACCAACAGTATAGATTATAATTAATTTATTGTAAATATTGTTTTCCTTTATTGTTACTATTATTATTTTTAATTCCAAATGCTTGCTTTGGCAATATGTACAGTGTTTGGTCATGCCAATAAAGCCATTTGAATTGAATTGAGAGAGAGAGACAGACAGACAGACAGACAGACAGACAGACAGACAGACAGACAGACAGGTGCACAGCAACAGCAGTAACAACAAGCACACTAATAGTAGTGACTGATGATGATGATGAACATGAAGAAGATGATGACGACGATGACAACAATGATGGGGGACAATGAGCAGTGACAATAGTAATAATAGTAACTGTAGTAATAACAATAATAACAATAATGTCAGTGATATTAGCAATGGCAGTCAGGCAGGACCATGGCAGGAGGCTCCACCAGGATCCATGAGAACCTGCGAGACGAGAAAGCACAAGAACTCCGGGGAAGAAGTGAAGTTAGTAACATGCATTAATGGGACATGAATGAGTGCAGAAAGAGAGAGGAAGGGAGGAGCTCAGTGCATCATGGGAAATCCCCCGATAGTCTAGGCCTATAGCAGCATAACTAAGGGATGGTTCAGGACTCACCTGATCCAGCCCTAACTATAAGCTTTATCAAAGAGGAACGTCTTAAGCCTACTCTTAAATGTGGAGAGGCTGTCTGCCTCCCGAACCACAACAGGAAGCTGGTTCCACAGGAGAGGAGCTTGGTAACTGAAGGCTCTGGCTCCTGTTCTACTTTTAGAGACTATAGGAACCACAAGTACCCCTGCATTCAGAGAACGTAGTGTTCTAGAGGGGTAATAGGGTACTATGAGCTCTTTAAGATATGAAGGGGCCTGACCATGAAGAGCTTTGTAGGTGCATTATAATACTGCATACATGTAGACACATTTAAGAGTGGAAATAAGTATTTATGCAGAATTTATATAATTATAGATGTAATTTCAAAAAAGTCCCAACCTCAAATGTTAGAATCTCTGTTATATATCTTCACACTTTTATATCTTTGGGTTTTGTTGAACAAATCTATAATCTTTTATTTCCATTTTCTGATACTATATTTCTACTCCACTACTCTTTAGTGGAAAAATGTGTGGGCTACTTTTTACTATATTTATTTACAGCTTTAGTTAGTTTGCAGATTCATATTGTTAATACAAAATATAATCAACTAATAGTAATACTAATTAGCTCCACCTTTACCAGCTGCAACACGTGTTGGATACATTAATGCAACAATAATAACTCATTACTATATAATGTCTTATTATAACTTTTGGTAGTAGATTCAGTATATTTTAATGGTAATACTTTAATAAGATCCCCTCCAGACATGTATTACAACCGATAGTCTGCTGTTTCTGAAGATTTTTCCACATTAAAAGTATAATTTCCACAATAAAATCCTTAAAAACATCTACTCCTTATACCACATTTTATGAATACACAAATTGTGCTCATTTCTGAAGTTTACCTGCTGGACACAAGATGTCTCCTATTTCTCTGTAGTCCATTCTCGGTGTGTGTGCACTGGTGGCTTCAGGTTTCTGTATTACACCTGTTCAGTGAGCACAGAGAAACTTTCAGCAGATTTAGTGAAAACTTCCTTCTACAGTCAAACATCCAACTGTAGGAACAACAAGAAAAACAGATTTTGGACTGGAGGGGGTCTAACATTTTGAATTCAGGACTTTTAGCTTGTCGCAGAGTATTTTTTTTACACTGTGGTATTAAACTTTAAACCCCCGAGTCCTTCTCCCGCCGCTGACCCTGGATCGGCTTATAACGGTGACGTACAGTCCAGCTTTATGGTGTGTTTTTCTCTCGCTGAGCGGTGCTGCAGCTCTTCAATCATAATCATGCCAAACACGCAATGTGACAGCGGGTCATGTGACTTTTCCCTCACTGGGTCCAACAGACAGACTCACAGAGAGGAAGAGTCGCGCTCAGACAGACGAGAGACAAGTTCAGCATTATGGCGCTGCGGGACGAGCTTTTAAAGTCTATCTGGCACGCGTTCACAGCTCTGGATGTGGACAAAAGCGGGAAGGTCTCCAAATCTCAGCTCAAGGTAAACTTCCTACACCTTTTTTTTTTTTTTTAAGTCTGGGTTGGTGTTTGGCGAAGCAGGAAACTCCCACTAAAGTCTTATCTTTTGGTATGTTTTGGGCAAATTTAAAAAACATCTTGGCTTTTTTTTTTTTTATATAGGACACTATATGTTCTTTATGGACAAACACAGATCTACTGTGCGTGAACCGACTCCCGCAGCAGAGATGCACCTGTTTGTAGTTTGTACACTGATTGATTCAGGCTCATTTTGCCTGTTTGGACAAAAAAACTAAACTCAACAGAAGTACGACCCACTGGAGGAACATTGTAGTAAAACCACTGAAAATTAAATAAAGAGTTTGTAGGATTTTTAAAAATCTTTGGAATATGATTTCCCCTCTGTTTGATATTAAAACTACCTGCATCAAAACAAAATATCTATAGGGGAAAAAAGCTTGAGTTTTAAAGTGATGCTAACAGAGACTGTAAAGGCCATAGTGTAGGTTAAAGTCCATATAAAGACAGAATCAGGTTTCTAGTGACATGAGAAGATGAACAATGGAGGAAGTACTCAGATCCTTTACTTCTACTACTCCTTTTAGTTCTAATAACAGTGTAAAAAATACTCCATCAATAACAAGTCCTGCATTACTTAAATCTAAGTATAATCAGGAAGAAGTTTAGTCAGTGTTAAAAGTAAAAGTACTAAATTCAGACAAATGTTAGTGTTATATATTATTGGATTATGTGTAGCCAACCAATAGTTATATAGGGCAAGAGCAGGCACCCGATTACAACTCAGAGGATTAAAATGTTAGTGAAAGTGTTATTTTAAGGTAGAAAAGTTACATAATTTGCTGTTGATCGGGTGTGAATTTGGTCGGTACTGTGTCAGTATCACTGGACCAATCACAGCCAAGTAAAAGAAAAGAGAATTGTTTTTTTTTATTTCCTGTGGATAACTCGCAACATGTATACAACTTTATGACACACCCACATGTTTCCAGCTCTGCGCCAGCCAAACATTGTTCAGCAGGTTCAAAGGAATCAACAGCCAGCAGCCTCTGAATCTGAAGAGAAAATGTTTTAGTTGTATTATTTTGCACCAAACAGTTTCCACTATAGATCAGAACACAAAGCAGCTCCAAGACATATTTTATGTGTTGAAAGAGGTGAAACTCCATCTTCTCTGGGAATTGTTCTGTTGCACTATGCTGTCCACATCATCCCCTCTATGTCTGCCGACGCTAACCCCATCTGAATGCAACATGTTGTCAAAAGGTAGTCTGGGAAATACAGGAAATCACAAAATGTGTCAATTAAATGTGTGTTCACAGGAACCATTTCATCAACAGTTATCTCAGACATAAATCTACCAAAATAGCCAAGAGTCAGATAGTGTTTTAAATAAGTTTATATCTACTGAAGTACCACTAAGAGTTAACAGCAACATATCACGCTTATTGCATGTATTGAACTAATTATTTTGCATGAGCACATGAATAGTTAATGTAGTTTTTATGTAATACTTCCACTGTGTAACATTTAGTAGGCTCGTTCAACAGAAATGGAATAATATTCATGGGTATGTTTTCATTAGGGTATGATAAGAATCATTTGTTAGCTTAGAATGAGCTGTTTGCATCTACAGATGGAGTGGATCCTCTTCCACAGAGACCGCTATGTTGAACCGCTATGTTGAACCACCATGTTTCTAATCTGTACCAGATGGTTTGTTACAAAGAACAACCTTGGAAGTCGCCATTGGAAACTGTTTGTAAAAGGGCAGGCATGTGATAGGTTGAACCTTCTTTCTATCACAAGCAAACTTCAATCAGTCAGATCAATGAACCATAGAACGTAGTCTAATTCTTACCAAAGCCAGATGGGAGAAGAATGAAAGCATCACTGGTGATATAACTGATGGTAGCAGCATCTACGCTAACTCCACCATTGTTGTTTATCGTGCTGCGTCACATATAGCGCTTACCCCAGTAGCCTTCCTGAAAGGACGCTGATTGGTCCGGTACCACTGTAGTCTCTCCACAAATGCCTGGCAAGATGGATTCTCACATGATTTTGTGATCCTGTGAGTCCAGCTGTCTCACAAGGTCATCATGTTTCTACAGTAGCCCAGAACAGACAAACCAAACACAGGTAGTAGTTTCTCCTACATGCTTGGAGGGTCGAGCTGTATTCAGATGCTTGCCATCTACAACTTCAACACTAGATGCGGCTGAATCCTACACAGTGGTCCTTTTTGAAGTTATGATCCTTTTGCTTTCTTGTATCGTAATGGCTGCTGACATTTTATAGACTAAACCATTTATCAATCCATAGAGAAAATGATCAGATTAATCAATAATGAAAATGATTGTTAGCTGCAACCCTAGGTTTAATACTTTGTCAAGTCTAGCCAAGGGATATCGACCAGATCTGTCACCTGGATACATTTTTAACCTGTGTTACAAGCTTATGCTGGGGAGTTGATGTGACACTTACCAAACACAGAGGGTCTAATGTAGGTTGCTATTGAGTTGCATTACGGGACTTGTAGGATCCAGTACTCAAACCCTTAAAGGGACTAAAATTCCTTATGTAAAAAAAACTAAATCAAAGAAGTTCTTCATCTTCAGTTTCTTCTAGACTCCAGTTGTCTGTGTAAGTATGTAACTTGATATTAAATATTCACCTCCTCTTACAAAAGGATGAGTATGTTAGATATGACCCTGGTATTATTTTCCTCAAGTATCTTTGTGCTATTTCAGTAGATACCAAGTTATTTAAGTCTCTGGGAGATGAGATAAATTTGTTTCATATACTAATTAGTACTGAAACTGTCATTTATGAAACAAAATGGAAAACATTGTCTGGTTCCAGCTTCTCAAATGTGATGATTGGCTGATGTTCTGTTATACATCACTGTCAGTATTCTTTGGTTGGACCGATCAAAGTATTTGAAGGCGTCAACTTGGGTTCTGGGAACTTGTGATGTTTTCTGATGTTTTAATTGATGGACGCTTTTAATCCATTAATTGAACTAATTAACAGGTTGAAAATAAAAACAACTGTGAGAAAATAATCCCATAATCAGTAACAAACAGAAGATTTTTCCCATTGTTCCAGGTGCTTTCCCACAACTTGTGTACGGTGATGAAGATCCCACATGACCCTGTGGCGCTGGAGGAGCACTTTAAAGACGACGACGAGGGTCCCGTCTCCAACCAGGGATACATGCCGTACCTGAACAAGTTCATCCTGGATAAGGTATTGAAACATTTCAGATGATCCTCCTGACTGCATGCAGGGTCCTTTCTGTGAGTTTGCATGTTTGTGTTGGTCTTCTTCTTCTGTGGTTCTATTCAACCCTAAAACACATGCACAGGTAACACTCCTGCCAAGGCCCATGACCAAGGCACTAGCTTCAGGATGGCTGAAGTGTAGTGGGTAAATTCACCCAGCGGGATTAATAAAGTATGAAGTAACGCCACCAAAATTGGAGATACGAGATTTGCCTCTTCAGTGACAGTAAATCAAATCACAACTGATTTCTCCGTATTTATAGAGGAAACAATAATGGTTTTGACACCTGAGGTTTCCTTTAGATAAAGTAAAGTCTCTTTAATAGGAGAATGAAACATTACCAGATGTACAAAAACACAAATTTGACAGCAGGACCAATGAGGCTTTAGTTCAGCTGCAGCGAGTTAACGCCCTTTTCTTATGCCCTGGGTGTTGCCTCTCGGGCCGGCTGCTCTATGCTCTGGTCGTTCGAGCTTGTTGTGGGCATACACAGGCTGAGGGGATTTTCTGCAAACGCAATTCAGGGCTGAAGAAGCAGCTACTGCTTCCTCTGCAAGTTTATTACTCATACCTAAGCTTAAATATCACCAAAGAGTCAAACTGTTTTGTGATGTCTAAAGGGATTGTGCCACTTGTGACATCATGGTGAGCTGATATAATGTGGTGTCTTAAACAATAAGAATTTCCCAGAATTTGTGTGAATTTTAACTGTGGGGTTTTGTCAGCGTCGGTTGCTAAGAGGATGTTCTCAAGGTCAGCTGTGAAACTTTTGTTTTAGCCAAAAGAAATTTTGGGTTGTTTGTTGGTTGTTTTTTAATTAAGACTGCAAGACTCAGCAACGTCTGAGCAACTTTGGTGTTTCTTTTTTTATTGTCAGTGTTACCTCATTAGTTCCTTGTTCCAGTTCTTAAGACATTCAAAAAAAGTTGTATGACGGGTTTAACAGCCAACATCAGTCCTGTCTGTGTGTGTGTGTGTGTGTGTGTGTGTGTGTGTGATGCAGAAACACACACTGTAACACACAGTGTCCTCTTTTTCCTTAAAAGTTGCTTTAAGGTTGTTAAAACGTGCTTACTGTCTGAGTAGATCATATATTTAGTATTAAAGCTACGTGGTGGTCTGGATGAAATATTCAAAGATTCAGTATTTTAAAGGGATGCATCACTCTATCGAATTGAAATATTCTCAATTATTTTATACACATTTTCCCAAAATGTACTTCTCCACTAGAATTTAAAATAAAGTTCTGTGGGTTTGTGCTTTATTTGTCTGCACAGCATGAGTTTGTAATGGCTTACCCACTGGCAGTTCATTAAGGTTTAAGAGGTTAAACTCTGTGGCATCGACAACTCTCTCTCTCTTTAACAGGGACACCTTTCCTTAAGGACATTTAAATTCTAGATTAAGGTTCAGGAGCAGAGACATGACGTCATGGTCAGACATTATTAGTGCCCCAACACACTCACTTTTACGTACTTTTCCACACTCAACCGTCCCACCCTCCCATTGAAGTGGAGGTGACGGGGGCTGTGGAGAGCGAGGGCGTCGGTGGGTACATTCAACCTCTCTTACTCCTGAGGAAACTCCACCCTCTCACACAAGGAAACTGTGTATGTACTATTGTGTGTGTGTCTTGTGTAACAAGAAACTGAAAAAAGCAGGACAACAGGAATCCTATTTTACACATGAATGGAGCCGCTAGACTAGAAAAACTGAAATCCAAAAATAAAAACAGAACAAAACCTAGATTACGTGTGTGTGTGCGTGTGTGTGTGTGTGTGTGCGTGTGTGTACAGATATGAAGCAATGCTAGATGATGCGTTTGTGTCATCCTAATCCTCACTGACTTACTTTACTTGTTAGCGCCAATGCAGGAGAAAATAAAGTGCACACCACTGATATCTCTGCTGAGGACAGAGACTCTCACAGATGAGATGGTAGAGTTTAGTAATCTGACACTGAAACACTGAAGATTGTTGATTCGGCAGCAGAGACAGAAGTGACGTTGAAGCTCAGGACTTCGTGGTTTGATGGAGCGTCACACTAAGACAAGTGATCCTCTGTTACCCTGAAATACCCTGTGTGTGTGTGTGTGTGTGTTTGGAGGGCACAATAACCAGCTGCAGCTCTGCTTACTGAAATATCACCTTTATGTGTTTTTGGTACGTTTGTTTGGCAATAGTTCTGATATCTTTGTCATATTGGTTTCAACGCCAAATGTCTATCCTTATTTTTATGTTAAAGTTTTCTTCAGGGTCACCCAAATCACGAAAACAACATACACTCCGGTGCAACTTTATTAGCTACTGCTGTCTAAAACGAATTCAGTCTTGAGGTCAGGTCACGTCTCTAAATTGTGACCCTGCAGAATAACTGACACTGCACATTTTACTTTCAAAGCTGTGTTAACAAGGTTTCTACACAGCTGACACTAAGTCCATTTTTACATTTCAAATAATGACACATCCAAGCAGTGTGGAGATGCACAGCTGCCTTTCTTTGTTTATTTCAGGGCCTAATAGGTCAAAACAATAGTAAATCCTACTTTTTTGTGACTTAAGTCTGACTCGAGTCGCTGTCTGAAGAATGTGTTTATTCACTTCACTCAGTTGCCAGTTTATATCTAGCTCAAACTGATGCAGTCTTATACAGTCCCAAAATAAATCATACATTTGTCGAGATTATAATGTTTAGTTTTTGTCGAGACTGTTTTAGAGGGGTGTGAATTCAACTGTATGATCATGCTAACTGCTAGATACCACTGAGAGTTAAGTTGGTGATTGAGGTCAAGCGATCGTTGAAGTTGAAAGACTTCCAACCCCAACCAACACCTGCGGAGTGTCATGGTGGTTTTATGTTTTGGAGAAGAGACTCATTTCTCCTTTTTATATGACTTTCATTTCACATCATGTCTTCTCGACCGTCCCCGTCATCGCTGGCGATTATTTCCTTTGCAGCAAACCCTTTGATTAAATAGCTGATAATCCTGTTCAGCTGGTAAAAACCCTTTTCACTGCCTCGCTGTCTAACCCGACACTACTTGCCTCTTTTTTCGCACTGTGGAGTTTCTGTGTGAGTTGTAAATGCGTCTGCAGGTTTGGGATGCAGGAGATAAGGCTGGAGTCTGGATCCGGAATCCTAATGAACATGTGGCAGTGGAGAAGGAGGGGAGGCAGCGCTGACAAGGCTCTCATTGTTTCAGTGTAGAGAGAGAGAGTGATAGAAAGAGTAAGAGAGGAATAGAAAAAGACAGAGAGAGAGAGAGAGAGAGAGAGAGAACCAGCGAGCCACAAGGACAAAGAAAAACGATACAAGCATGACACAACAATGGTAGAAGAAGAGCTGCTCTTTCATAACAAACCCGATTTTCACAACTTCACTACTGTTCCCTCCCTGCCTGTCATCCTGCCAGCGTTTCTCTCTGCAGTCAGTCCGTGCTGACTCATCCAAGATCACAATGATACAGACGAGTCCACAACCGTCCTCATCCTCACATGAGGGACACAGTCATGCTGCTGACTAATGACAGGGGGTCAGAGCAGAGAAGAGTCTTATTTGAGTCAGTATCTGGTTTCAGAAGCACCCACAGTTTGAACTGATGACGGGAGGAGTGCCAATGTTTTAAAGTGAAGCTCCACCCAGAATCTATCTTTAGAGTGTAAACACCACCTGTAGGTTGAGCGGCGTGTGACCAGCTTCATCCTTAAACACCCCCCCCAGAAAACAGCAGCTGTGTTCAGGTTGAATATCAAGTTTAGTTTCAAGTTTATTCCAACAAAAAAAAAAAACACTTAAATTAACAGAATATTAGACAAAACATGAAAAGCATTAAGACAAAAAACGTGTTAACAGTTGATTCCAATCCTGGCAATTTTCATGTTGAAATAAAAATGTTAAAACTTCTCCTGCAGTGATGACCTTCTCTGCTTCGGTCTTTCCACCAAGCTAAGAGCAAAGCACTGTATTAACTACATTTTGGGGAAACAATGATTGTTTTGAACATACTGAGAATGTACATTATCCTGCAGCAGTGATTTGAGAAGTTTCTATTCCTGCTGTGAAAAGGTTTGAAATACATCCTGTTATACATTCAAGTGTTTTTAAAAAAAATCTAAATGATGAATGATTTAAATGACTGAACAAACGTTTTACAGCTAACTTTCGAGCCTACAGGGGATGAGATGTTTTTTAAAGACTTTAGGAGGGAAATCCCTTTAACATCCAGCACAGGTTTCCACACAGGCACTCACTCTCAGTTAGCACAATAGAAAGTTACATCAGATCCTGTGTAGCTATAGAAACGACAACTGCAGTCATTCACTTGGGCTGAATGTCTCTCTCTCTCTCTCTCTCTCTCAAACGCAGCACAGAAAATGAAAATAATTAAATGACTGTGAGAGAATTAAGTTTGTTTTAAATCACGGGTCAGAGCTTCAGCTCCTCAGAAACTAGTTTTAATGGAAAGTGGGGAAACGCTTGTCATGACTATAGTGATACATTACAAACGGATAATAACCATAACACACTATAATCACCCTATAAATACCATATCAATCTGTCATCTTTTATTCTGCCTTGTGATTCTTTTCTTTTGGAGAATTAACTTTAGGGTTTTTGGAAATTGCTTGATTTTCTTGAGTGTATTTGTACTAAAAAAGTGTGTATATTTATCAACATGCAACATGCATCCGTCTCATTTTCTGATGAGAACCCTGTGACGGAGGCTTGTATGTAAATCTAAATTGTAATGACTGGTAGTCATAAAATGAGATCTGTTTAATTTTTATATCTTTTCATCCTGTCTAAACATTTGTGTTTTTCTAATTTAAATTTGACTTCATATTTAGAAATAAAAGCCTCCTTATGTGGTGTTCAATGTAGCGTGGGAACCCCGGACGTTATAAGAAAGAACTTAGTTTACTTAATATACTGCTCACATACTTATCTGTTGCTGTTGTTTCAGCTGTTGTTGTTGTTGTTGTTGTTGTTGTTATTATTATTATTATTATTATTATTATTATTATTATTATTATTATTATTATTATTAATGAGCAAGTATGGATGAGAACTTCATAGGTTATGAAACCAAGTTCTGCATCACTGGCTGCTCAAACCACAATAACAACCGAACTATATTTCCCACATTGCTTATGCTAATAGTTTTAATAGTCAAACGCAGTTTCAGGCTTCACTTTGTGTTCAGATCGGTTTTTTAAGTCGAGCAAGCGCTTGGGTTGTTTTTGGGGTTTACTGGTGGTTTGTTTGACGGGACGACTGCCAGCAGGACGAGATGTGCTTCTAATCCACACGATTGCACCGTCGTTCTGCCAGGAGTCTCCATGGAGACGTTCCTGTTCACCGGCTCAAGGAGAACATTTCCCCTCCCCAGCACCGATTGTACCTTTTCAAGAGCTTTCCTCATTTAGCTCTGGTATTTGACTCCTAGAGATTTTTCTTTACTTACTTTCCTTCCTTGTTTGTTTTTGTTTTTACAGTTTTGCACATCTCTCTGGGGAAACATACTGTCAACATGTATAAATGAAAATGTGTATATGAGGCCGTCACTTTCAGAATTTCAAGTTATATTTTGTATTCAGCATATTGTGGGTTAGACATTTGGACATTTTCATCACCACTTTTTCTCATGTTTCTTCTTCTCTCTCATAATGGTATCGAATACCTGTTTAATAAAGTAATATCCTAATTTAGTATCAACACCTTTTTATACAGGTTTTATAGTCAGTAAGCTATTAAAAACAACTGTTGGGTTGTGAGGTGGTGAAAAATCCCCTTGGCTGGTGCTTATCCTTCTTTAATAAGTTATTGCACATTAATTATATATCACATCTATAAATACTAAAACTTGTAACCATGACTCACCAGACCTGTTGTTCTGCTCTGCTGCAGGTGACGGATAACTTTGACCGTCAGGATTTCAACAAAATGTGCTGGACGTTGTGCTTCAGGAAAAACCTGAATCAAAGCCAATTATTTATCACCAACGATGACGCCTTCAAGATCTGGTGCATCTTCAACTTCCTGTCTGAGGACAGATACCCGCTGATCATGGTCACTGAGGAGGTGAGTGTTGAAGAAAGGGTATATTCCAATTTTTGTACCAAATTGATACGACTGCTTTGTGTCCAATAAACCCAGCGGTGATACTTTTCTAACCAAAGATCATAGTTCACCAAGCTCCACATCCATCTCAAGTAAAACAGAACTGGAAACACTGCTGGTTGTTCCCTCGACATATTAAAGACCACCTAGCAGTTTACAAACTTCAGGCCCTGATATATCAGCTTCAAATTATAAAAATTATATCTCAGGTGCAGATTCCTAACTTCAAGCTTGTCCTATATATCACTGCTGACACAATACTGGACATTGGCCTTACATTATTCCAATACAATACTTCTATACCTTTTGTGGAATATAAATAATTACCCTTTTTATTTACGCCAAACAAAAAACTAAAATACAGTCTGTAGTGAAGAAGAATTGCTGACTGAGATGAGGCAATGTCCGATCAAATGGAAGGCGGATAAGTCTGAGAACCTGATCAAGCATTTGATTTCAGCTTCCAGTAATTGGAGCTCCAGTCCAACCTCAGACTAGAAGCCTTGTTTTTAATGCTGCTGTCAGTAAAAATTAAAATACTTACTCTTCCACACTTCAGAATTGTATATTTAAAAAAGGCTGATCTTGAATCAGATTTTCCTGATTTGGACTTCTGGTCTTTACACATAGGACTTCCTCCAAAATGGCTGGGTACTAGCTGAGGGGGAAGTTATTGACTTAAATCTAATAGAATCAAATTAGCCAGTATTTGTCAGCAGTGTTAACTTCCCACTGCCATCACAACTAATTGACATGGGCTTTTGTTCATTTCAAGGTCATATCCGACATTTAATTGTACTACTGTATATGTGGTGCTTCACTGCTGCAGTAACTGGCCAGTTGAAAATGTCTGTTGCTCAAGAGCAGAAAAGGAAGTTTCCAGCTTCCTGTTCTTTAACAAATGCTGGAAGATTTATTGTTGGGTATAACAAACATAAGAGCTGAATCACAGGAAGATTGTTTGCTAAAGAAATGTAAATGTATACGCTCCAATCAGCCACGTAGAGACGAGAAGGAGAAAAAATACAGGACAATTCTCTTCAATATAAATGTTATAAATAAAAACAGTTGTATGTTTTAATAAATAAAAAATCCCATTGTCTTTGCACTACCATATGCTCTCTGTACGTTGTCTCCACACACAGATCGAGTACTTCCTGCGTAAGCTGACGGAGGCGATGGGGGGCAGCTGGGTTGAGGAGCGTTTTGAGGACTACAAACTGCAGCTGAACTCGAAGCAGCAGAGTCTGAACGTCTGGGAGCTCATCGGCGTGGTGGGGTCGGGCCACTTCAGCAAGGGCATGGACCGCCAAACGCTCTCCATGGGCATCAACGAGGTCTACCAGGAGCTCATCCTGGACGTGCTCAAACAGGTGGCCAGATTATGACGATACAGTCTTAATGAAGCTGATTATTACTGCCCCTAGTCTTTGCAATATATATAGAATAAGGAATTTAGAGTTTGTGCTCATGTGGGGCAGGGCTGTATATCTTCTTGTGAAAGCATGAGTCAGTGTATTACTGGGGTCAAATAGACACAAAAATGTCTTTTATTCAGAAAACATTCATGTCTCTGTCAGGGCTACATGATGAAGAAGGGTCACAAGAGGAAGAACTGGACGGAGCGCTGGTTCATGCTGAAGCCGAACTCCATCTCCTACTATGTCGGCGAGGACCTGGCCGAACAGAAAGGAGATATCTTATTGGACGGAAACTGCAGCGTTGAGGCAAGAACCTGCTTGTCCACATGTCTCTCAGTCCCCCTGGACTTTATATTGATCAATGTGATATCTGAAAACAGGTTTTACAGAGTATCAGGAATATTACTTGCATCTAATACACAGATCTGAGCTTCACAGCTGGTGTTGCATCATGGGTCAATCATATGTGTTTACTACAGTACAGTGATGTTAGCTATAGTTAGATATTATGATTATGATGTTGTGTATAAGTGAATTATGGGGTTGATTCCAATGTTATCTTATATCAGACATGGTGAGAAGTTCAGTAGATAAAAGAGGAAAGTCCCAAGGATAAAAAACAAATAGAAGTTATACTTAACCTTGGATCAGTACTTCATTTTATAGTTGATGAAGCAATGAGTCAACACAAGTTAAAAAGTGGATCCAGAATTGATTTTGTTTTGTCACACAAGATATTGATTGTGCATCTGAATACTGTTGGGTGCTCTTTATGCTCACATTGATGTATTTATCAGCTGGTATAATCTTCATCCGTGGTTCTGTCTGCAGGCTCTACAAGATAAAGAAGGAAAGAAGTGTCTCTTCCTCATCAAGTCGTCACAAAAAAGCTTTGAAATCAGTGCGTCAGACAAGAAGAAGAAGCAGGAGTGGATCCAGGGTGAGTAGTAGCATGATGACACCAATTTAAAAAAAAAAAAAATAACAATCAAAAATCACAGGTATTATTAATCTTATTTGTGTGTTACATTACGAAACCGGGCCACAAAGTTACATAGTGCAGCAACAGGAGGACAGGTCGCAGTGGGAATGACCCTATTACTACTCAGTGAAACATAAAAATTATTTTGAAGCTGTATTCTCAATGGGAAACTGAAACTGGAATACAAAAAACTTTTTTTGCCTGTTTTAAAAACTTCCGCAATACTGTGAAATTTTGACCAACAAGCAAATGAGGTCAATTAAAGATCGATAACTCATTACTGCTTAATCTGCATATTATTTCCTCAATTAGTTGTGTCTATAGAATGTCAGAAAATAGTGAAATATGCACTTTCGCAGAGCCAAAGCAAATAAAAAAAAAAATCTTTTGTCCAAAACCCAAAGACAATCATACAAGACTTAATTAATTACAAATTTAATTGACAAATAAAGTACAATCAGAAATGACAAATATTTATATAGTTTTTTATATATATGTGTGTGTGTGTGTGTGTGTGTGTGTGTGTGTGTGTGTGTGTGTGTGTGTGTGTGTGTGTGTGTGTGTGTTTTTTTCCTACAATTTTGTCACACAATGGTTTTGAGACATTAATGCTTCACAGCTCTTCATTGATTATCTGGACCTCGTGTTAGTTTTACGCTCGTTTACAGAAAGCTTTGAATGAAATCACAACTGATATTTTTTTTTTTTTTGTGTCCACGCAGCCATTCAGACCTGTGTGACCCTGCTGCGTCAGGGCCGGCCGGCGCCGCACCGGGAGGCTCGACAGAAGCGGCGGGAGCTGCGGCTGAAGCAGCAGGCTGAACAGGAGGAGCTGGAGCTGAGGATGAGGGAGCTGCAGACGGCCAATGAGGTTAAACAACTCGAACTGGAGAACATGAGGAAGGTGAGGAGAAAACAGAGACAGACAAGACAGACAAACCCACACATAAAATGTTCCCCTGTGAATCCAGTCTGGTCAGGAAACGTCTGGCACATTAGTTCCTTTTTGTAGTGTGCTGAATTTAAAATAGCTCAGCGTGGGAGTGATAAAGGCAGGAGTGATCCATGATGACACAGTAAAGATTGGACTGTCAAGATGATGGAATGCAAACAAGCCCAGTGTGCATATTGGACAGATTATTCTCAGTATAGTAAAAAGAAAATGTGCATCAGTTGTTTTACATTCTTAAAATGTAAAATAACTTTATAGAAAAGGAAAAACTACAGTGAAGTATTCAAATATCTGCCAAAACAAACCGCAAACACCCGATTCCAAGACAAACAACACAAAACAGACAGCTAGATTGGCAATGAAGATACATCTGGATTCAAGGACAATGGGAAGAGCAGGTGGGTTGATGAGGTGACTAGGGTCGTGCAGAGAGAGACAAAAAGTAAAGAACACTGGACATTATAAACACAAATGTTATCTGTAGATACGGCTGTAGGCGGAACCACTGCACACCTGACATACGAGTATGCTTTTTTTTCCTGTTTAAATAAGCGACTAACAAAAGAATAAAAGGAAAGTGCTATCGAGGAAGTAATTCACTGGAATTTGTCAGGGAATGGAACCTGAGGGATTTCCAGAGGGGAAAATAGAGATAAGGAGGTTTAAAAAAAAAAAAAAAAACCACACAAAGCAAACAACTCGGAGAATTAAATAAATAGAATAAAAACGGGGGAGTGGAGGCATTCCCCTCCCAGGATCAAGAATAAAGTGACCTGGAGGAAGAAGACAAGTTGTTCCCAAGTAGTTTTTGAAGCAGCACAGACGGAGCAGTATCTTTTCAGTTTGAAAAGGCCTTTGTGTTTCAAGCTGTGTGGGAATTTAAGACTCACGTGTGGTCATTTTCAAAGCTGACTCAGCTGTTTTTGCAGATTTAAAGTGTCTGTTCTGTTCTTCATCTGGATGGTTCCTCAGCTGGAAAGTAAATTCATGGGGTCTCTATTCATCCACTGTACCCAGGCTTCTTTTGTACTTGAATTATACTGCATCATCAATCACATCTTGCCTCAAGCAGACAGATGAGGGGTTTCGGTCTGCTCCAAGTCCACTCAAGAAGATCAATCTTCACACAGACAGAATTTTAAAAGCTGGTTTTATTATCACGGACTGAATCCTTAAAGGCCGCGTTCAGACCGTCTTTTAGGCTTGTGTGAAGAAAGAAACGCAGCCCCCTTTATTCATTTGCATGAGGCTCAATTCACTGCAACACAGTATCTGCAAGGGCACATTTCTGGTAGATTACTTTGTAAAATGGACACTATAGTTTACCTTGCTATAAGATAAAATCATTGCCGTCATAATAACTTTACTTTTATGATAACATTTTAACGTGCCGTGCAATGCAGATGATCATGTCATGCATCCTTTGCTTCAGCTGAGATTGTTAGTTCTGGGCACCAGAAGGAAATAGTGTACATTTCTGAGAATGACAAGCTATAAATAGATCATCAGTTTAATCATCAATGCAGTTACGGTCACTTTGATGTCATCACAACTGCAGCTCAACAAGGTCTCAAAGCTGATTCAACAACATTCCTCAGAGATAACGTCACACCTTAAAATAACAAAGACTGAGAGTAACATGCATTACCTGTGGAGCTCTGTAATGTGTCTGTGTAATGGTATGAGATTTTGACAGTAGAATAAAAAAATATCTATTATTATTATTATTATTATTATTAGTTTCTTTGGTTGAACAAACACTTTTATTATAATTTCACATTATGTCTATTTTTTTTTAAAAACGCAGTACACTGCCACAACCCTATTTCTGTCACACTGCTGGTTACAGACACACATGCACATAATTGCGTTTCACACAACAATTAAAGTAGGTCACCTAAAAACACTGCTGGTGTCCTCTGAAACTCACTGCCAACCAGTGTTGGGGAAGCTATTGTGAAAGCAAAGCTTTGCAAGTGACCAATTTAGACTGAAATAAGTTGAACTACAGCAAAGCTACCCTAGGGGCAAATCTAGTCTGGTTCACTGAAGCTAATTAGAAAGTAGCAGTAGTTAAAACTACTTTGTAAAGAAAATATCAAATTACATGAATATGTGATACAAAATATAATACAAAAAGTCACATTTCAGCAAAAAAATGACACAGAGTTTATTTATTTAAAAAAGTGCCAACTTTTAATACATAAACAAAAAAAAATAATACCCCAATATTCATGGGAAAGTGCAGGAAAACAGCTTTGGTTCAGTGCCCATCAGTCAGACACTTGCCCTCCAGAAACTAGTGTCCAGGTGGGGGTATTGCACCAAACAGGATTACTCAGTTAGCAGGTAACCTCTAAAATAACATTTCTTATTAGCAATAATCAATACTTAAGACTAATGTATACCTAATTTATTTAGATTTAGTTTTACTAATTCAGATTTGAAATTAGAAACTGTAGACAAATCTTTTTCACAAGTGAGCTGACAATCCAACTTAGAGAAGCAACAGTAAAATAAAAAACTAAAAAAACATTCTTTCCTTTTATAGCCCAGAATTGTTTGTAGTTCCTGTTGTCAACTACACAAAAAAGTGAAAAATGGTAATTGAAACCACTATAATCATAAATATGAATGCAGTTGAACTACCAGCAGGCTGCTGAAAAAATGCAGTTAAACTACTAGTTTAATTACTCCTCCCCAACACTGCTGCCAGCTCATGAATACCAATAATAGATCAGCTCCGCCCTGCAGCCTCTGACTAACAATAGTCTGTCACTCGCTATAGTCAGAGGAATGTGTATTGAATAGAACAGGGGTAGAGGGGCGACATTAAACCTGTTTTTTCCAGTAAATCTCCCTAAATCTGACTCACACTCCTGTCTGTTGTGTCTGTTGATACTGCTGACTGACGAACGGTCGTGTTAAAATTCAGTGATTATGTGGATTCCTCCAATTGCTGCTGACGAATGGCTGCTTCCTGTTAATATGGTAAATGTGAGGTTAACAGGAAGGGTCGGCTTCACAGTCAGTAGAGAGCTGATGTCATACATTAGATTGAAACATACTGTTTATCGCTATTAATAAACTGTTACAGGTTATGACATTAGGTGCTGGAATGCATTATATTGAAATGTGCTTCTAATATACGCCAACCTTTTCAGAAACACCTCTGAATATAATGCAGTTCAGTTCAACACCACTGCAAACTACAACCGTAACTGTAATCAAAGTCAGTTTTATTTATGTAGTGCAATATCACAGTTCGCCTCAAGGGACTTTACAATGTGTACAGCATACAATACCCTCTATCTCAGACCCTAACAGGGAAGAAACCTTGGAAAGAGCAACAGAAGAATGATCCCTTTCTCAAGACATGCAAGATTTTGTGTGTGTGTACACAATACATCAATACAAAATCACAGTATATACAAATTCTGATGAGAAAAATACAGATATGTAGCCATTAATATCACTCTGACAGTGTCAATAAAAACTGAACATTATCTTGGTAAGGGTAGAATTTATGGCTCAGCTGCTGTATTGCACTAGATTGTGCCAGCGTCCCTAATAAAGTGGCCACTGAGTGTATTTACAGTGTATCAGTTTGTCAGTTATACAACGATGAAGTCCTGGGGCCAGATGCATAAAACAATGTAGACTTAAGCCAGAACTATGTATGCACATTCTTTTTTGTCAAAGTTATAAAGATGGACATAGACATGGTTTTGTTTTTATAATTCTCAGTCATTGTGAAACTGGGCCCCATTTCATCTCCCATAGTTAGCCATAAATGGCTTTAGATGCCCTTAAAGACTAATTTCCATATCAGTAATTCTGCCTGCTTGCTGTAGCCTTTACGCCAGTCCTTAAGAAACTTAATTTTTCCAAACTGGTAAGACTCTCCAACAGCACCAGAGCAGCTTTCATAGCACACAGCTTCTATTATTAATTCATCACCTAATAGCTGTACCTGTATGCAATCTTTGGCAGTGATAGCTCAATCATCCTAAATGCCAGAAAGATAATCAATGATTTAGTTTACAGCCGAGTTATCAAAACAAATTCTACAGTGCTTTGCAAAAAACAATGTTTTATTATTTAGATTGTGTCTCTTATTTTCCATCTCCACCTTATAATACTATTATAATATCACTCACATCTACCGTGTGTAGACCTGGTCTGAGATATACCTCGTGTGCTCATTCTGACCACATGTTCTGCTTTTTTAAATAACTGTTCATGCGGGGGGAAATGGTGTATCGTTTTGTGTGTGGGCATCATTTATACATCTGGGACCAGGACTTTCAGTATTTCCACCATTGTTACTGCTGTTACAGTCCACCAAACTTTACCAAGATGCATTTAGACATTACATGTCTAATCTGAGAAATAATGGAGAGCCCAGATAAATCTTTTCAGAGGATATTATCCATTAACTGATCTGAAACACAGCTACTAAGTTGCAGTTACAGCACTGGGGATGTTGCAGCCATCAGCAGGGTGGTGACAAACTGTGAAATGCAGCAACAGTCAGTCAAACTAGTTCATGTTGTAATTGTGTAACATGCAGCTCAGCAGAGAGAACAACAGTTTGTCTTTGTCTGGGGCGACACTGCTCTCCCATGAATGCACAACAATCTGCCATTGAGGTGAAAGTCCTGTCTCACATAGACGTTTGCATGAATGCACAAAGAACACACATACTGTATAAAGCCACATACAGAGAGAGAGAGAGAGAGAGAGAGAGAGAGACTCAGGGTCATCTGCAGCGATCACACTATGCTGCTACAAGTATAATTGTCGCAGTCTTGAGACCGTTCACAGCTGGGTGACACAAGTCAGCATGAGGTTACTGCACGATCACGAGTTAATTAACTTAAAGATGAATTTCTCCTGTTATGTTAATCTGCTTTAATGTACAAAACATTGTTACACATATAAAACTAAATGTTCTAACTGATTGTTAAACACCCTTCCTCTCTCTCACCTGTTAAGAGCTTTCCAACTGATAAAAGCAATCTACAACACAGCGAGACCGAAGAAAGAAACAAACCAAAAAAAGTTACCAACAACAAAAAAAATCACCACCATCACGTGGTAGACAGGAAGACAAACGGAGTCCACGCTTTACCGTTTCAAATATAGATTGTACAAGTGAGGTAGTGTTGGTGACACATTGTGTGATACAAAGATTTACAGTGTGGAGTGTGTTAAACGGCCGACAGTGAACCCCAAAGAATGAGAAGGATGAGTAGATACCAAGAGTTTATGTACGGTACACTTTCAGTTTGTCTTGTGTAACAGTTGTTCATAAATTGAATCTTAGTAGATGATGCCAGTAAAAAATTATATTTTATCCGAGCCCAACCAGTTCTAGGGGATGTCTTTGCAGCTGAAAGCAGCAAGTAAAAATGTCTGGGCTGTATATGAATGTAACGGTTAGATAGATCTCCTTGGAGGTGCACAGGTTGGCAATATCTGCTCATCAACCACTGACTCCGCAAAAGCCGTGGACCACCACAGTTCATTGCAATCGGTTGGCAGCCATTCTAGGCAAAGAAAATCAGTGTGTGATGTAAAATAAGTTATTTGCATTACAGTTTATAGTATAAACACTATGCTTGGAATTGCAGGGCTAAAACATTTGAGTCAACTTTGAGTTTGTTTATTTTGCATTTCTTGGCAAGAAATAATTTGTTTTTAGTGGGCATTTTTATTTTGTATTTTTTTATTGGTGAAATTATGTGACAGACAAGGTGACATGAGGGACAAATACATCACACCACGTGGACTACAAGTACAGACAGTGGACATACAGTACAGATAACAGAAAACAACGTAAAGTTAAAATGATATGTATATAGGTAGTATAAGTGTGTGCGTGTGTGTGCATGTGGATGAGAGGCAGATGGTATGGTATTATATACACATAATATGGCATAGATAGATGATACAATAAAAATAAATACATAAATTAAAAAGTATAAATATGAGAAGAGAAGGAGGAGGAAAGAAAAAGAGAAAAATAAATAATAATAATCTGCAATACGATATGGCATGCATTAACATAGTATAGTGCAATATAATTTAACTTAATATAATGTGACAAGATGGTATAGTGGGCAGTATTTATGTTCTCTCTCAATTCCACTTTAGAGCTTGTATATCTCTTTGTCAATAAAGGTGTTACCTTTAAATAGTAACACATTTACTTCTGCTTGTATACTGTAGGACAGTTTGCCTCTTAGCCTTCAATACTAAAATAAATCTAATAAAGCCACGGTTTCCATTATAACCCCTTTAACATTGGTTAGATGTTATTACCTTATTCATTTCTGTAAAACATATTTCACTTGAATTTAAGGGTGAAAACCTGTTGCAAGAAAATATAGAAGGTGCTTTTATCTGTTGGCCTTTTTTGTTTGACTGCCCGCTGTTTCTCTTTTGGCCAGGCCTTGGAGGAGGCAGCCGCTAACGCAGCAGAAGAAGAGCAAAGGCGTCTTCAGACCCAAACTGAACTCCAGGACCGCTACAGGATGGACCTGGAGAGAGAGAAAACGGTATGTCACTCCTCATCAACTGAGTCGTTACATCAGAACAAGTGGTGGAGCAACTTAAATACGACTTCCTCTTTTTGGTATAGTGTATTGTGTTATTTTAGGGGGTGTGAGTTGAGTCGGTGTCATGTTAAATGAGACGTAAAAAAGATTCTCAGCCGAACAACTTCAAATAGACTTAAAGCCAAGACACGCTACTGCTCAGAGTGAACATCATTTAAAGCTGGAACTGAAACTTGACAGCAGACGAGTATTTGATGTGCTCACTACACATTTTATAAATACAGCTGATGATGTGGTGATTCTATGTGCTTTGCCGTTTGGTTGCAGCTGTAGACACATACTTGTTACTGTAATATTCATTTGGTAAACATAACCATCCAAAAAGCATGAACACTGTGCTTCAGTGCCTCTGCTGATAACATCTGGACATGCTCAGTGCACAGCATGGATGTGGTGTAGTAGTAGATGATGTTTATCATCCATTAGTTGTTTTCATGTAGAGGCACTTTGGTCACTGTTGGTTGGCCAAACAAGCAAAAATATTCAATTTATAGTGAAATCAAATTTTAAAAATGTTTAGTATTTTTGCTTGATAAATAACTGAAACAATGAATTTTTAGAATTCATCATTCATTATATGTTCATTACCTAGTCGTCTCTGTGCTGATTCTTTAATACCTAAATCACAATGCTGATTAATCACAGGCATGTGTACTTTTGTCTACAATGTGTGTACTTTACACCTGCTATCACAGTGCTGAAGAATTAGCATGGAGCACTAGAACACAAACTACCTAGTATATAGGCTGGACTGAAATAGTCACTTTAAGGGTCAGCTGATGAACGAGGCAGCGTTTGAAAACCTGGTGTATTCCTTCAGGACCACTTCATAAAATAAAACCATTCAACAGGAGTGTTGATATTAATTTCCAGATAAAGTAGTTCTCTGTATTTGCTGCTTCATCAGGTACGGCAGCAGGTGGAAGAGCAGGTGGCCCAGAAGTCCACTGAGCTGGAGCAGTACCTGCAGCGGGTTCGGGACCTGGAGGACATGTATGGTAAACTGGAGGATGCTCTGGAGGACGAGAGACGTGCCAGACAGGATGAGGAGGCCGTCCGCAGGCTGCAGGCACGGTCAGTCAACACAAAGTGGAGGAGGGAAAAACACAACACAAAAACACGCATCAAAAATGCATCATCAGTCTTTGGGAAGGAACAAAGGAAAAAAATAGGGTTATGTTGGCGTCTTTAAATGTACTTATGTACTCAACATAACAAAGAGCTGCTGTAATGTGAGGAGTGGTTAAAGTACACACATTCTTTACTCAAGCACAAGTACAGATACTTGTGTAAAAGAAGACTGATTAAAGTATTTTGCTCGAGTGTAAAAGTAAAAAATACTCTCTTGGTTTCTCTAAATTACATTTTTACTGGTTGTTTCTGCACAAAGCTGAAACGTCAGATAGTTTTGAGTCTCCCTCTCCAGTCTGTTTCTTCTTGGTATGTCGTCGTGCCTTTTTGTGTCATGTTATCTCTGTCATGCACGATATCTGCATATCTGCATGATATGCACCAGATTTGATGTTGGGAAGGCGTGCATGATGCAAAACATAATAATAATAATATTAATAATAATAATAATAATAATAATAATAATAATAATAATAATAATAATATTATTATTATTATTATTATTATTATTTGTAAATCCCCTCAAATGCATTAAAACTATAAGAACAAGTGTGTTTTGAAAATATAAGGAGTAAAATGTACAGATATTTGTATAAAATGGGCACAGATACAAAAGTAAAGCACAGACACCTGGACAAAAATGTTATCTGTGCAAATCCGAGCCCAACAGAATCCAAACTAAAAGGACTACTCTACTATTTCTACTCCACTACAGTTCAGAGGCAATTATGTTACTTTTTACTCCACTATGTTTCTTTGATAACTTTAGAGATTTTATTGATCCCATTGGGAAATTCACCCTGCAGTCAGCTGTACACATTAATGCATCAATCATAACCCAATAATGTAATATAATATATGTTCTTCTGAATGGGGATATTCTGCAAAATCAGTACTTTCACTTTTGGTAATTTACGGAAATTATGATAATAATACCTTTTGTACATTTACTAGTAAACTTTTAACTGCATGACTTTAGTTGTATATCTGCACTGTAACGCTTTAGATTACAGCCCGCAACCAATTTACTTCAGAGTTACGACGTAATCTTCTCTGTACTAATGGTGTAACAATACAGTACGTACCAGTACATATATGTAGGTACTGGGGAACAGCATTCTGGATTATTCTGAGAACTTATACTGTTGTTGTTTTTTAATTACTGGGTACGTATTCTGTTATTACAGGATATGTATGATCTACTGAGGACCTGTCAGTGAAGATGGAGTGATGAGCCTAAATAAAGTTGATGTCGTTATATATTTAAAAATAACCTTAGTACCAATATAATTAACTTATCACTTGTGCTTTGTGTAACCAAATGTTGTGCTGAGCACAGCCTCCAAGGAAATAAATACAAATATATCAAGATAAAACACAAGCTATCCCAATGCATATACTGTTTATGTTTAATATAGCTACTGTGTGTATGCATTGTCCATCCATGTTTTAAGGAAAGTAAAATCAACACAAATAGTACCCAGTAGATAAAAAGAAACCTACAGTAGAAATACTCCTGAACCGTTACCCTCTTATTCCATGACTTCACACCTTGTTCCCCAGTACCTACATATCACTGGTACATACTGTACTTTTAGACCGTTAGTACAAAAGATAACACCATAACTCTGAAGTAATAATGCTGTATGTTGTGGGCTCTAATCTAATCTAAAGTGTTAACTGTAATTTACAAAGATCTTTCAAAGATTTCTTTCAGCACTGCATATCATCTAACAGCCCGTCTAAAGGTTTGCAACTTCACAATTCTTGTGAAAACCACACAAACGTGACCCTACGGGTGCAACTGGGTTCAGATTAATGTCACATTTTGATGATGTACCAAGCTGCTAATAGCTTTCTGTTATCAGCCAATGTGTAAACACCTCAGGTATGAGACTGTGAGGAGTTTACTTTATATTCACAGTGTAGTTAACCATCTATGGGAATCCTTTAGCATGAAACCTTCTGCTCCTGTTTTTTTTCTTTACATGCAGCCAGACATTCAACTACTGCTTCCTTCTCTCCACCACATTTCCCCCGTTGTCCTTCCTTCCTCTCTGCTGACATTTACTTTCCACTTCAGGTTTGACTAACCAGCAGTGAACATGTCAGCGCTATTGTACTGACCTCTAAGCTTAAATTAAACCACTGTGCAATAGCTGCAGTAGGTAAAAAAAAACATATTAAAAAGGACACTGCGTTGCTGACTTGGTAAACCGAGCAATTACTCTCACACTGTAACACACTTGTTAACACTCCATTTGGGTTGTTGAGTATGGCCGCAATAACCATCAGAGTAGGAAAATAATGTTTCTAAACTATTTGCTACATCTTTAACTCTAATCTGCCCTTGAGCTCAAGCCTAAAAATCTGTGATTGGCTTTTGACATTGTTGTACTATTCACATGAAACTTAATTTAGTGAGGTAGAAGACTGGAAACTCCTTGCATGGTGGACTGCTTGGATGGAAGCATTTAGTAAATACATTGCTGTCTATTAAAGCTGCAATAAGTCATTTATGTAAACATATTTTTTTTGTCATATTTGCTAAAACATTCACTATTTCCTCGCAGTAGTACATGTGAGGGATAATCTGTGGAAAAAACGGGTTCCTCTGGTGATGAGTCAGTATTTTGAGAAAGTTTCTCATAACAACTTACAGAATCTTTTTTTCTGTCACATTGGTGGAAATGGACGTCCACAGTAGTTCAATTTATTTGAACGTATCTTAACTGATCTGAAAAACACACAATAATAATGGCACTATAGCACCACCTGCTGGTGCACCACCTGCTGGTGCACCACCTGCTGACACACTGACATGCTACAGCCATCTCCATTTACCATTCATTTATACATTAGTTGCTTTATTTAACTAAGACTGAAGAAACATTTCTTGCATCATCTTTCATACAGTTAGATATTATTGGTTTATATTATTTAATACATTACATTACTTTAAATGTCTCTAGGCTGTTTTAAAGTTTAAGACCTCAAATGTTTTTAGCAGCTAAAAACGTCCCCAATGAGAAATCAAAAGTGTTTGTGAAAAAATGAGGAAAACGTATGTATGCACACATGGTGCTCAATATAGGTTACTATATACCTCACCCATGGTAATGTCTGTGTGGAGCAGGTTACTGGAGGAAGAGGCCACAAAGAGGGCAGAGTTGGAGCAGATCCACCTACGGCAGCAGCGCGCCATCTCAGAGACAGAGGCTGAGAAGCAGGAGCTGGAGAAGGAGCGCCTGGCCAAGGAGAGCGCCCTGCAGGCAGCCATGAAACAGCTGGACCAGCTGGAGCAAGAGAGACAGGGGGCGCTGGAGCAGTATCAGGTCAGCAGAGAGAGAGAGAGAGAGAGAGAGAGAGAGCTGGTGGCTGGCAGTCAATTTACAGTAAACTATATGACAGCATGGCTCAGTAGGAATCTGCAGACTCCTCAGTGCAACAGGGCTGATGAGCAAACCTGGGAGTGAAGCTGCACATAACCATTTTCAATATCCATTCATCTATCAATTATTTGAACAGTAGTCATCTAGTCTATAAAAGGCCAAAATGACAAGAAATGTCCATTGCTGGTTAAAGGAAAACGCCTAGATTATCACCAACAAATCTCAAAATGTCCTTCCAGCTCACTGTTGATGTTTTGAAACTCAGAGTTCAGTTGAGTTAGCGAACATCAACAGTGAGCTGGGAGGAATTTGTGCTGTAGCAAAATGAGGGAGTGTAACTTTAACAGAGTACATGGTAAGAAAAGCTATGCAAAATATTTAACAGATTTTTCTGAACACACTATTTTTGTTCAACGCCAAACCCAAGATACATCACACTCACGCGGACCCATCCCAAAATTGCAAGGCATATGACTAACTATAAATGGGGACAACAAGTATGGAATTTAGTGCTGCAGCTGCCAAAAACAGGCTACAACATAATCCTTGCAGGCAGTTGTGCACCGTCAAAGTACGTCCATTAACAGAGCTCGCTACTGACCGACTCAGAACAAGGAGGTTAATACTGATTAACTGATTATTGTTCATACAGTATATCAAAAAGTGCTGTTCTTAAATATGATAATAATTGGATTGTAAAAGAAAAAAAAACACCTTGCCTTGTATAACTGTGTTGTGTGTTTTTTTTTTTTGTGTGTGTGTGTGTGTGTGTGTGTGTGTGTGTGTGTGTGTGTGTGTGTGTGTCCTTGTGTGAGCCAGACAGTGATGAAGAAGCTGGAACATGCAACCAATAACACCAAGACCTGGAAGCACAAGGTGGCTGAACATGAGGGCTTGTTACGACTCATTCAACCAGGTAACTGCAGCACACTAACCACTGTCTGTCTGAGTCACCCATCTAACCATCTTTGTGAGGATCAATATCAATGTTAGACTGGCCGGGGGACTATTTGAGGGATGTTTGTAGGATTAAGGTTAGATTTTCATTGGATCAAACTAAATTTTTGATTGGGTATTTTGTCAGCATTCTGTATTTGCCACTCAATAGCAAATGGTAATATAATGTACTTTGATGAACTCATATCACTTTTAAATAATAGTCACAATGGTAGACATTTCCGTATCACCTTCAACATAAGTCTGGATTGAACGCTGTAATGTGAAGACCACAGCAGCACATGGTTAAATATGTACAGAGAGAGATTAAATGTGTCTTGTTCCATCTTTTAAAATAACTGTGAACAATTCATGATCTTCAATCCCTTCTGCAAGAATAAAAAAAATTCAATTAACTAGGAAATACTGTAAAGAGTCACAAAGAGCTTCCAAACAGGAACCAAGTCCCAACTTATCTAACTAACTCAGTACTTGTCCTCTGTCTTTATTAAACAGACAACAGAAGTCGCTCTCTAATAAGGTTAGGTGATGAAATTGATGCAAAAATGTATCAGTGGATTCAGTGTCAGGGCTGCAAAGTCAAAACAAAGTAAATGTCTTACCATGACTGAATGATAAAAAAGCTTTATCATACAGATGAAGACAGCCATATTATGTATTCAATGTCTAAAAAGCATTAGCATTAGTAGTTTTCATTGTTACTTGTGGACTCAAATTGCATGGCCACATGGCTTGCGGCTAAAGCTAGAGCTGTGATTTTGACTTGCTTGCTAACATACTCCCCAAAAGGACCTGAGATAGTAACATTGACCAGAAAGCGTTGTTAAAGCCAGGCACTCCCACATGGATTTGAACCTGATACTTCTTATTGGATAGAACAGATGTGTTGCACACACCATAGGAGTTAAGAAGTAGCTTTCTCACCACGCTCAGCCAGTTCAATCCCTTCACACTCATTAAACACTGTCGCAGCCACAGTGTTTATCACGGTTAACATTACTGTTTGTCAGTCTTAAATATCTTGTTAAGGTTCCACTATAGCACAGTTATTTGTGGGCCCACGTGTTGTTTACTGTCACTGAAGAGGAATACATTATCGTTCATGTACAACGACATCTCTCTAACTGTGCAAAAAGGAGACATGAATGGCTCGATCTCTCACAATAATATGTGTGACCTCTCATCATTGCTCAGCTTTAAAAGCACCAAGGGAAAATATCAGTGAACACTTGTTTATTTTTTTATTATATTATTGTATTATAAAAACAGCATTGTTCCTTTTTAGATGTTTTACTGACTGCACAGGAACTAATGAACTGGCACCACTGCACTGTTATTGAGGTTTGAGGTGACAGACTTGCTGAGTGACTCAAAGTGTTATACTGGTTCACACTGAAAATAACAGACATGGAGGACCACTGACCACAAAATAAAGTGCGCGTCAGTGAGGTAGACAGTTTGAAGAGAAATGGAGTATCTCTTTGACACATTATAATATTATCTGACATTATTTAAAGGAATGAAATACTACATAAAATGATACACATTTTCTTTTAACAGATTTTTAGGGAGTGATTTGATTTGTCCAGCTTTGAATGCATTTAGTACAGTACACCAGTATATGGTTTGCTACATGCACAGTGCTAAGCGTGTTACCAATAATAATACCATTGGTTTTTTTTTTGTAACACATTTAATCTGAGAGTTTCAGATTAAATCCTCTTGAATGCTTTTCTCCCCTCTAAAGCAACAAACTGACTCCTGCCATGAATAAATTTAATGGCGCCTTCGTCCTACTGATTTCCCAATGGAGTTCATTAGTGAAATTAGTCAACGAGAAATATCTTGACTCTTTTTAAACCTGAGACTCTCTCTTGTCATACTCTCTCAGCCAACTATGTACAGGCTGGTCCCTCAAAGCAGGTCACAGCCCAACAAACAGCAAAAAAAGTTGGAGGAAGAAAACATAACAATGAGATATCTGAATTCCACAGATAGTTTTGCCTGGAGGCAAAATATTAAGAATGTTGTTTACTACAAAGTTAAATTACAACTTTAATGGAATTAATATCAGTCCGTCCAAACTCTTTAGGGAAAAGAAGGTTGAAGAATTTAAAATGACTCCACACACTACTTCATCTGTTCTGAGTAAAACTGTGCTCAGTTGAAACCTCTAGAGGCTAAAGTGCAGTTATGTGAAGTAATTGAAGCATTAATGAATGCCTTGTCAACATAAGTAATAGCACTCACCTTTGTTCCTCAGCCACATAACATATAGGAGGGTCTATTGGAAGAAATGGTACATAAAATTCATGTGTGTTTTCATTAGTTTATAGTCACCTGAATATAGGAATTGTTATAGTTTGTTACCTTAGAATGAGCCTTTTATATTTACAGTCACAGGTCGCCTTCCATGGAGTCCGCCATGTTGAACCATCGTGTTTCTACAGTAGCCCAGAACGTACAAACCAAACTGGCCGTAGATAAGGTTTTTCCCGGCCACCGTAGTTTCTCCTTCATAATTAACAGCCTGTTCTCATTCCTAGGTCGTCAAATACAGATGTGAGTGGTGTTCAGTTGCAATCTGAAACACTGCCTGATGCCACTAAATCCGACTGGTCTTTTAATGGGATGGGAGCCACTGGAGTATTTTGGATTCATTAAAATATTAAGGAAACTTATGATGAAACTTAAAATATGAGTTATATGTATCCAAAACAAGTGCAAACTCCCTAAAAACAATAAGCAGCCACAACAACCATTTTGACATGAAATAGCAGGGTAAACAGAGTCACTGTGCTGCTATGGGTGCATGTTGGCTCACTGGAAAGGCACTGCTACACTAAATGGAACAGAGCCTACTTTCATTGGTAACACCTGTGTTTACCTAACTATTTCATATCAAAATGGCTGCTGTGAAAAAGGTCTATAGACTTGCTATACTTGCATGCAGACATTCAAACCAAAATCAACTGCAACACACAACAAAATAAGACATGTTACATTTTCCAGAAGTAAATAGTAACTCAAGAATCAAATATTCCTACCTCCATGTTGAATAGTCTCCTGTCCCCCCCCCCAACAGGTTCCAAGGGACAGCAGCTGATCACCAACTGGGGTCCAGCAGCCTTTTCTGATGCAGAGCTCAATCTGAGGGAGAAGCAATGGCAGGAGATGAAGAACCAGCCGACCCAGGCTCAGTAGAGAACCCTGAACCTTGAACATGTCAGAAGAGAAGAAGAGAGAGGGCTGCTGGGATATACTGGCTAGTAACTGGATTTTCAGTGGAAGCAAAAAGTGAGATTTAACTATCAGTAATTTTATGTTAAAGGGACATTAAGTAATGAATTATCGATATCCCTTTTATAAATTCTGCTGTCCAGTAGGAACCAACACCGATGGTATATTTTTGAACAATTCACTGTCATTGTAGGGCACCATATATAAGGGAGCAGTACAGAGACTCGTGCATTATGAGGATTAAGTTCACTAATTCTAGCAGGGATCCAACACAAATACTAAGTGGAGAAGCGATAATGCAAAGACAAATGCTGGAATAATAATAATAATAATAATAATAATAGCTCTGCTGTTAAGATTTGTCTCCCTTTTGTTGCTAAATGTTTTGATTGCTGTGTCAGTCATTCGGTCTTATAACTGAGCAGCTAAAAATGTAGATTAAAGTTGTTTAAAGTCCAATGAGTAGGGAGATTTCTTTCCAAAACTGTCAAATTAGTTGTAGAGGCAAGAGTTCACGTGGCAGTTGGGTCATTAATATTGATCTCTAACCCTAACAAGCCCCACAGTACATTATACAGTATGTTACAGTCAAAATAACTTTAAATAGTGCCATAGCCATCTTAGTAGTTTAGCTCTGATCCAACATTCACCCAGCACTAGCTGACCGAATGAGGCACCAGTCCTAGTATACCAGACATAAAGCATACGGCAACTGGATCGATTCACTTCATTAACTTTAGACCATGTGGGCTCCTGTAGGACCAACAGCCAGCTCGCAGTTTAAACTACCAGTCTGTTGTATACAACACTTCACTGTCTATGAACAGTGGACCATTGTTAAAATCAAAAAGTCAACATTATACATAATTTAAATCTATTTTATGATGTGCAGCTTATTAAAACTCATGAATAGAAAAGAGTGAGCACCACTACCTTTAATTATTTTCTTCCACTTTGTCCTGATTGTGGATTTGTATCTATGAAATGCACTACTTTTGACCAGAGTCTGATCTGTCCACCCCAAACTGTTTGAGCATGTTTTAGGTTCAGGCTGTTGTAAAGTTAAGAGCTGGTGAAGTTGTAAGATCTACTACTACTTTTTCCTGTGACTGTTTTCCTTTCATCTCTTTAGGACAATTTTTTTACATAAAAATATAAGGGATTTTTGTACATATTTTAACAATGGTTTGTGTTTTGTCAAAGTTTGTTTTTTTTGTACTAAAGGTAAAGACCCAGTGTGTAGGATTTAGTGGCATCTAGTGGTGTAATTGCAGATAAGAGCGCCCTTTCCAGGCAGGAAGGAGAAACTACAGATGCCATGTAACTTGCAAAAATTTTGATCTACAGCCAGTGTTTGGTTTGTCCTTTCTGGGCTACTGTAGAAACATGGCGGTTCAACATGGCGGATTCTGTAGGAGAGGACCCACTCCCTATGTAGATAAAACGTCTCATTCTTAGGTAACTTTTCAGGTGATTATACACTAATGAAAACATACCTATGAAGATTATATCCTACTCAATGTTACACACTGGACCTTTAAGCTGCATGAAGGCAGCATCAGTAGCAACTAAGGATGACATGTCTAATGTTAAGTCAATGATGTTTAACCAAGTTGTCTTCTAAAAAAACCAACCTGAATTGAAAAACCACGTACGATTCACTATCTTTTATCATCAAAGTGCTTTTTACTCCAGTTTGTCTGACCTAACTTTATATTCGTCTAATGAACTGGCTCTTAAACATTTCCTGCTTGTAAACACTGTTTCAGAAATAGGGCATTTTGCCAAAGTCTCACTCCAACCAAGAATGCTAACATTTGTGCTGTAGCCATCAGTGCCTTTCATATCGTCATGAGTGAACATTGTAATTTCCTCTTTGTTTTTATATATATATATATATATATGTAAAAAGCTGAAAACTGAACTATGTAATAAAACATTTGAATAACTCTATTGACTGTATTTTCTATCGGAATGTAATAAATACAAATGAGTCCAGTACACTATACTACTACACACAACCATTCATAGCTAGTGCACAAAACCACAGTTCACCAGAGGGTGCTAGAGTGCCACAAACACCACATCACTACAGATAGCTGTTACAGAGGTACAGTGCTTCTGATGGCAGCTCTTACTGTCCAACTGTAGTAAAAGTGTTAAGTGGAGATCCTCTGGGGACAGAGAAACTGACTTAATTTCCAAGACTTCACTGTCTAGACTAGAGCTTCCATTTTTCTAAATAAAGCTGATCATTGTTTTCTGTCTAGTTATGTATGATACAGACAATATCATTAGGATAATGTGCTCTGTAATTGTACAAATGTGTAATTCAATTGTCGTCCTCTTTTTGTAATGTCTTGTTGATAAAGACTTGAAGTAATGAAACATTCCTGACATTGCAAGTAATTAGACAAACCTGGGCTGAACTCTAATTATTATGAAACTAAGAATTTTGGAGGGTATTTGAAATGTATGAAATGTATTAGTTTCAGTGTGTTTGATTTTTTAATCATCTACAATTTAATTGTCCTACTATGGACTAGGGTGGATGATAATTATCATGTACTTACATTCAGTTTAATCATGGTACCAATACCACTGATCTTCTTTCCATATCAAAAATATATATTTTTTTAAACAAGATGTTTTATCATTGATTAAATCAGCTAACTGATGAATGATAATGTTAATAAGAATACTACTGAAACAATTAGTGAAATCAATTAGATGACTGATGAAGTTTATTGCCAAATTATCAAGAAAAACACCAAACATTCTGTAGTTTGGGATTCTTAAACGTGACTATTTTAACATCTTTGGGTTCTGACGTCTCTGAGAAAACTGTGATGGGCATTTTTCACGGTTGTAGACTTAATTATTATTACAAAGAAATATTAAGATTATTCAATAATGAAAATAATTGTTAGCTACAGGCATTCACAAAGTCCCACCACACATTCGATGAAGGCTTTTGATAACTGGTTCTACAGATACTTTACGGACAGTTTCACAAAATTGAGGCTTTATACATAGTGACAACGCGTTATAATGTCTTCCAGAATAATACTGTTATATAACATCATTGGGAAAATCATGATGATGATTTCATTTATGCTGTAAAAACCTACCTGACCATGATCTGTATTAAAAAAAAACAGATTGAGCAATGAGCAATAAGCAAACCAGAGTACTAACAGTTGAATCAGGTAAAGTGAGACTGTAGATAACATGAAACAAATAAAGCTGCCATTCAAAAACGTTCCTGTGATGAACTAAGCAAGTACGTTATTAGACTACCTTACGAAGGCTAATTCAAACTGAGAATTAACTGCAGGTTCTACTTGACCATGACCTGACTGTCACATAGTGCTTAACACACAATGAGACTGTAATCCTGACAAGATTCAGTATGTGTCGACACTTCTAGAATCACACAAAAAACCCCAACAGTATCTAAACGTTATGCAAAACAGACCACCTTGTAAAATCTCCACTTTTAGATCACCCCCCCCTCAAAAGATCCCCAACTAAGTTAATTCACTCCATCCTCCCTCTGTATCGTGCAACAGTCGTTAATTTGAGTGAGACGGGACAGACCAAACAAACACATACAAAATACGTTCCCAAAAATGTGCGGTCCAGATGCGCTCGGCACATACCACAGCTGCACTAACATTGCTTTATGCAAGAAGATGGCCTGTCATTAACGCCAAGTGCCGTGCCGGATGTGATCCGTCAACCCCCCCCCGCCTACCATCCCTCCCAGCTCCCCCCTATAACCCCCAGCAGCGTCTGTATCCCATCATCCCTCTCTCTTTTAAACATCCTCGCACTCATCAGCCTGAGGTTATGAGGCTTGTGGCACGCGTGCCGCATTCCTGGGAGGTGATGCGAAACAGAAATGCATTAAATTCCCGATCTGGAATCCATCGCAGGGGGTGTGTGTGTGGATGGGGGTGTGGAGTGGGGGTTAGTTTGGAAAATAAAGACAAGGCAGGGTTAAGGGGTCTCACTGCCCCCTCGAGTACGACAGCATCTGAATTTACAAAGTGTCTGAAGGCGTCTGAGGAATTCAAAATATATAGGGTTTGAAAGTTTTAGGAATTCTGGGTGTTTACAGCGAACTGGGTTCTCGGGAGCCCAGGGGCCTGTGGAGGTTTACGGAGCAGAGGGGTACTCTTGAGACAGTAAAATAAAATGCCTGCAGAACATTTAACTTCCTTCGCAGTATCGCATATGACAATTCATTCACCCCAGGGGTGTGATACGGCCATATTAAGAGTTAAGGGAAAGCATCTGGCAAGAGAGTAGACAAAAATAGCATATCACTGCATCTTCACATTATAGATCTCTATGGAAGATTAAAAGGTCCCTGGAGAATTCCTCTAAGGGTCAACGACGCAAACAGATGTCCTCCTCTGTCTCATAAAAATGAAAAACACAGAAAGTGAGTCCAGAGAGTGAGGAATCAACAGCAGCATTCCACTTCACACCAACTACAGTGACTAGTACTGTAAAGAGCCTCACTCTCAGTGGAATTTCAGCTTCAACCTTACTTCACCTGTATGTCATCCCTCTTGTCCAGCAGCACATGTTTCTCCGCATCGCCCCCCTGACATTTCACAACATCACATTAGAGCTGGATTTGTGTAATGTGGGACTTAAACCAATGACTGAAGGTTTTAGTTTAGAGATTTCGTGAGGTTCAAGGGTGCAAGGAGACGGAATTTGGGACAAAGGATCTGGCTCCAATCAGCGCATCTGACTCTGCACCCACAGGAAGGCCGAGCCCGAGGCCACAGTGGGGAAATCAAACCCATCTTTTTCAATTGTTCATTCCAGATATAAATATCTTCTGACAATGCAAAGAGCCAAGCTAAAGGTGAGCCGTGTGCCACTCTGACCTCCTATTTGTATTTTTACCCTCATGGGTCAGAGGCTACTGTGGATACATGTAAAAGTACATCCACATACACACTTTCCTACTTTAAATCATATGCAAATGCACACACATACATACACACACACACACACACACACACACACACACACACACACACACACACACACACACACACACACACACACACACGAAAACACACCTACATGCATGCACAGTGGCTGCACCTGGATGCACACACACATTCAGATGCATATGTATGAATGCCGCATGCACACATCCACACACCCAAAAACTCATAAATGCAGTAACCCACCCATACCTAAATGTGCTACAATGCACGACACACACGGATACACAGAAACACACACGTGTGCACAGACATTCCTTTTTAATACAGCCTGATATGAACTGTAATGAGGCAGCAGCGGGGTGACTGGTTGCCTATTTGGTGCTAGTCTGTGAGGAATGTTTTACGTGACAAGACAGAAAGACTTCAAAAGTCAGCATCTCATCCTCTTCTTACCCCATGAACACAAAAGAATGTGTGGCAAGGCGCAAATATAAAACACAAGTGTTTCTGTGAAAAAAAAACCCCCTGCAACCCCCATGGACTGTGCTGCACTCCCGCCAGCGCATGAAGTTACTCCTTTTTCAGTTGAAACGGTCTGACTCATGACTGAGCCAAGTTTGGAGCTGGCCCCCTACCAGTGCATTGTTTACCGACATCCTACTTAATTGCACAGAGTATATGAAATCATGCTAAAAATACCTGAGCGCAGCAGGCTTAAAGGATGCAAGTCAACGAGTCAGCAGAGCTCTTTTTTTCCAAGTGAAAGGTGCCTGAAGAGGCGATGCCGAGGGTAGCGTTACCTGCCCACTGCTGTCATTATCCCTTTTCTGAATACACATCCTGTCTCTTGCTTCGGAATAAGTGTGTCATCAATTTAAAACTGATGTTGCCATTCATGACCACAGAGCAACATGACCTTCCTTTGTTCTCCTGTCAAAAAAAGTAATATGACTCAAACAAGGGAATGGCACCTGATTTCATCATCATCATCATCATCATCATCATGATCTTCTTGTAGCGAAGACACTTCACCACTCCACCTCCACACTACTTTTTTTATTGGCTTGTTGTGAAATGATCCCTATTTATCTTCAAAAACTCTGAGACAGGGTGTGACTTCCCAAAAGATGATGCGTCATAATTCTTTGGACAATTTGAGGAGCTACATTATGGTAAATAGACTCTCACACACACGCCTCCTCACATAAATGTGATGGAAATTTTACAAATTGTCATGTCTGGATAAGTGCCCAAGTCACTCTGATATAAAAGTCACAACCATCAATATATTTCCACACAAACTCCATCCAACACAGCACAAGTCTGAACTGAGTGCCATCAGATTAACATACAGCAGCACAAGGTTAAATTAAAATTAATGCCATGTTAACCTTATTAGGAGTACTGGAATACATTTTAACTCCATTGTCATCTTGTATCTACGAATAAAATAAAGTTTAATCGCCCAGAAAACACTATGAATGAGCTAAATTTAGTTGTTTTTTAAGTTTGGATTGTTCTCATGTGGGATCAGTTCATAATGTTTTTCTCTCCTCATGGCCTGACCAAAAAAAAATATATCACACATCAACCACAATAAAAATCAAACCAGCACTTTCTATATTTGAGTTTTTCATTCATGCCACCTGCATGGATGAATAAATGAATATCTAGCAAAACACTTTCCTTACAGCATGTGAGTAACTAGAAATGACACCAGAGGCCCAACTTAATGTTTTGTCCCTTAATGCGTACCTTTAGACTACAGCTGTAGCAATTACAAAATCAATTAGTCAATTGGCAGACATTCATTATTACATTAATTATTTTAATTAATAATTTGAAATTTTTCAAGCAAAACGGAAAATAAGACTTGTTCTGTTGGTTGGATAAGACGAGACATTTTCACTGTTTTATAGATTAACTGATAACCATTAGTTGCAGCCCTATTTCTGACATTAATGGCAAAATAATGGG